TGATGTCACTGATGATGGGATCAAGATACCACAACTTGGAAAATTCAAAATAGAGACATCCTTGCCACCTACAATCTCAACCTATATATTAATTCAAAACGTGTTGAAACTAAGTGGTAGATTCTCACGCTTCGGATGCTGACATGCGAAAATATATGAGAAGACCTATTTTTAGCTTAAACGTAATCTAATAGGATCGTCCTCATCTATATGTCTATGATAGATACGCGCAGATAAAGAAGTCCAAGCCCGTTTTAAAAAGAATCAGCTCGACAAGGCCATCTTTTCCTTATGGGCCTTAGCCGGCAACTTGACGTCAGTGGCCAGCCCAATAGACTTAAGAAGCCCAACTACGTACCAAGTCATATCAATTTGCCACCACTCAAGCCCGTGTCTAGCTGAATATTCGAAGGCATGGTGGTTATTGTGCCAACCCTCTCCGAAAGCAAGCACTGCCACCCACCTGTTATTTAATTCAATTTTCACAATCAAAATGTATTTTGGTTAACCTAGCTAGGTCACACGAATAATTAAAAAAAGATTAAAATATAAAATAAATATCTCAAAATAATCGAGGAATATCAAGTATGGATACCAATCGAGATAATAATATAATTTCATAAAAGTTCAAAAAAAGTTTTGTTATTAAAAAGTACCATTGAAAATTTTGCGTGTATGAATCAATGCAGAACGACCTATCGTTTCGAAAAAAAAAAAATAAAAAAATCAATGCAGAACGTAAATAAGAGAGATTTGATTATTGATTATGAGATTACCAATTATTTCGAGAAAGATCGCCGGTTTTCCAGGCTTGTTTGCCCCAAACATGGCAAGCTGAATTCACAAGCCAGGTGATGTGGTAAACCCACACGATTCTCACTCCCTGAAAATGCAATAAATGTGATCACTTTTTTATATCATTTGTATTAATTTTAATGAAAAAATAATAATTTTTTTTTAAAAAAAAACAAATACAGCGTGGCAACTTAATAAATAAAACAATGACAATATTAACAAAAACACAAATAAATAAATAAATAAAACCAAAATATAACTATATTGATGATATTTCATTTCCTACAAATCCATATAACTATTAGTGGTCAAGAATTTGAATGGTCCATGAAACTTAAAAAGTGGGCGGACTGTGATTATGACAGGCCCATGTTATTAGTGGCCCATCAGTGATTTGCCGTATATTTTTTTTACCTCTGTGTGAGCAAAACTATTTTAGATAAACCCTTTAAATTGCATTTTAAGAAAATTATAAATAATTAAAAAGTATTACAATAACCCATCCACATTTTATACAATTTTTTTTTATTGAAATAAATAATTTTAATCACCTCATTCTCCTAATTAATGATTTTCTAGTACCAAACATGTGATAAATATTATTAGAAAGGTAGATATACTTAATGCACCCCTAGCCCCTTGGACTAAACTTAGTAGGTGATTAGTTGCACATTTCATTTATGTGAATTAATTATAAGGACTAGAAGCATACAATATAAACCGGCCCACCGTCCAATCAATAAATACAAATTCTTGTATTAGACCAACTCCAACCCTGCGTTGGAGTAGAGTATTGCGCCAGAGTTGTGTCAATATTCTGCTCCAAAGCAGCGCCACATTTTGACGCTATTTGAGATATATGTACAGTGCAGCGCCAGATGTGGCGCTGCACTATTCACCCAACGCCAGAATTTTCTTTCTTTTTTTTTTTTTACACTTATGAAAGTGTATGGAAAACCTATAAAAACATATATATATATATATATACAAACATTATCCTAATTTCTAATATTATAAAATATTATTTAAAATAAAAATAAATATATATATACCAATTTATTTAAAATAAAAATAAATATAGTATATTTTTATTATTTAGGTAATAACCATTTCATATAAAATTAAATATACATCTATATACAAATTCGTTTGAAATAAAAATGTATAATATACATTTTTGTTATTTGGGTAATAATATTTATTTACGATTAAATATACATATATATACACTAATTTATTGAATTAAAAATGAATAAAAAAATAATATATTTGATATAGAATAAAATGTAGAGATAAGAGGTGGAGACGAATGTTAGAGTAAAGTTCGCGCTAGAGTAGAGATAAGGGCTGGAGATGGTCTTAGTCAGCCTAACACTTATGTATGTTATCCCGTCATACTAATTTAACAAAGTTGCATATTCATGATATTGAAATACTTATTTTATTTTTTAGAACGAGTTATTTAATTTTAAAAGTATGAATATCTACTGAAAAAAAAAAAAATAAACTGTCACGTCTATCTAACACCATGCAACCAAAAGCAAAAGGACCTTATCACTTACCATTCCCCAAACAATATAGGGAAAACCTCCAAGTGCATAAAGTAGAGCTCCAAGTGACAAAGGATGAATTATGTAAGTGCTTTGAAGGAACTTGTAAAATGGTTGCTTTTCTAAGTCACCAACATTGTTAGGCTTCCCACACTGCATAAAAAAGAATAAAAGAAGAAAAAAAAAAATCAATTGATGAGCAAAATAACTGCAATAATTAGTAGAATGTGAATTAAAATTAATGATGTGGTAATTTTTACCCTTTGAATGATAGTATTGGTGTCAAAAAGCCAACTCATGTGACTAAACCAAAATCCTTCAAGAGGGCTGTGTGGGTCCTTCTCTGTATCACAAAACTGATGGTGGTACCTATGTGTGCTCACCCAATCAATTGGATTTCCCTGTAAAAATGAACCCACATATTCAATAAAACTCACAATTGACATATAAAATAAATATTACTCAAATAAATTTAGTATTGTCAATTATACATAACAATATGTGGTTGAATATACATATCCATAAAATTATGATGTGTTTTTTTTTTTATCCGTAACCATAGAAAATGTTATAAATCAAACAGCTCTTAGTTGAATAATACAACCATCAACTAAAAACTGGAAGGACCTATAGGTCAGAAGATCGCCTAGAACCGCAACTAGCAAAAGCTAGAAACCAAAAGACGGGACTCAAACACAACCTACACAACAAACACTAGAAAAAAACAACTAAAAAGCAACAAAGCTCCCCACAGAAACACAATATAAAAACAACAAAACCAACAAAGCATATTAAAATAGCATATTAAAACTGTGGCAAAAACGGCAAGCATAAATAGAATTCAAAGGTTGAGTTTTAATTAAAACTGTAGCAAAAACGGCAAGCAAAATAGAATTCAAAGGTTGAGTTTTACATTAAAAGAGAATATTGTATGAATAAATTGTGAAAAATAAATGTTTATTTATATAAAAGTCACTAAAATGAGAAAATCCCAACCCATAATCAATTAATCATAACAAAAATTTGGTATCTAAAATCACATTAAACTATTTCTCTTTTAAAAGTCAACATTTGCCTATGCTCCAAAATCCAAATAACAGTTGCAAGAAAAAAAACTCTTGAGGGAGAGCTTTGC